TAATGTTGCTGTTGGTACCCCCTCTGGCACCGTTGCGCTCATTGCATCCCCAAGGAGAAGGTTGAAGGACGTTCTCCAAGAGCTGACCTCGTGCACAGCTATTGCCCAGTGCACCAGGGATGAGAAATGCGCTGCGTGGTTGGGATGAGAGGTCTTCTGTGCTCCCTCCTTACAGCCTTTGCTCCTTCCTCTCCCTCCAGCATCAAGAGGGGCATAAACTCCAACGATGTCTTTCTGGAGCAGCTCCAGGCCCTGTTGAGGAAAGCCAACTGCAAGCTGACCATCTGCTCAGAGGTCGAGAGCCGGAGTGACCGCTGGATCCAGGTCATCCCTCGATGCTTGTAATACGCGTCTCTTCTGGTGCTTCTTACGGGCTCACGGGGCACGCAGGGTGTTGTCCCCACTGCTGACACCCCGGGAGGGATGAGCTGCGTTGCTCGGGGGAAGCACATGGATGCTAAGAGATGAACTGGACAACCATGAGCTAAAAGATGGGGAAATGCTGCTGGTGGTGGCAACAAGAGCGTTGCTTGGGCCCTGGGGACATTGCAAGAGGGACCCCATTACAAGAGGGACCCCATTGCAAGAGGGACCCCATTGCAAGAGGGACCCCACTGAAAGACAAACCTCGTGGGGAATTGCAAGGGGGACTCCACGGGGCATTGCAAGAGGGATCCCTTGCAAGAGGGAACCCACAGGGTGTTGCAAGGGTGACCATGCGGTGCCTCGCTGGCAGGACGCCGGGTACGCGGGTGGGTGGCCACATGTTCCCCCAGCAAGCCCCAGCCCTGCTCTGCTGGTCCTCGTGGCTGTGAATTGCTCACGTGGAGGGGACCTGTCCCCGGCGCCGTGGTGGCGGGCAGGGCGTCACCCGCGGTCCCCCCGGCACAAGCAGGGAGCTCTGGGGTTTGGGCAACAGCCGAGTTGTGCCAGGATCTCCCCGTTTCCTGCTCCACCCTCACCTCATGCTTCGCCCAGATGGCTATCACCCCCAGGAGCCTTCCTCCTCCTCCTCCTTCTCCTCTCTTTCCCCAACAGGATGAGCTGGAGTTCGGCTACGTGGAAGCACCACACAAGACCTTCCCCGTGGTCTTCGACTCACCCAGGAACAGAGGCTTGAAGGACTTTGCTTTTAAAAAGATCCTGGTGCGGCAGGGCATTGCTAACTCCTTTCTCCCCAAAAATCCTCTCTTGGGGCCGGCAGCAGCTCCCATCACTGCTCCCCTCTTTTCCCAGGGCCCCGATTTTGGCTACGTGACCCGCGAGCCCCCTGGACAAGAGGCCTCCAGCCTCGACTCCTTCGGCAACCTGGATGTGAGCCCGCCGGTGACGGTGCGGGGCAAGGAGTACCCCCTGGGCCGCATCCTGATCGGCAGCCCCCTGCCCTGGTGAGACAGGAAAGCGTCAAAAACTGCGGGGAGGGACTGCAGCGAGTGGAAAATTCCAGGCTAACTCCCACGAAAGCGCAAATTTCACATGCAAACCGCGTTGCTGTTCCTTCTCCCCGTGCAAAATCCTTCGTGCGCTGCTATGATTACTTCCCCCTCCCAAAATGTTGGTGCTTTCACTCTGATCCTACAGCACCCTAAGCACCGTGCCTATTTTTCTTGAAAGGCAAAGCAAGGGAGTTCAGAAAAGGGTAAAACCTTGAATAACTGGAAATTGTTTTTGCTCTGCCCTCGGCAGCAGCTGTGGGCAGGGAACAACAGCACCCTGCAAAGCCCGCACAAAGGCGGCTCTTCATCCAGATAAACAACAACAGGGCTGAGCCCGGACAGGATTTGAGCCAGGACAGCAAACGGAGCAAGCTGTGCTGCTGCAGCGCTCAGTGCCTCGCTTACCCGGACGGGAAAATGGGATTTTCCCAGCCTCGCTGGGGCCATAATTATCCCTTATTACAAGAGGTTTTAATTAATGTTTTCTCAGCCTGCTGCTGGCTGTCTAAGAAAATGTAGGGAGGGATTTGAGGCTCGCAAGGATGGGGTGAATTAAACCTTGTGCCCATTTCAGGGGGGAATGTGCCAAAGCAGAATGTAATGCACATACAGATATATATGGATAGGTGTGCATATATTTATATACCATTACATTTATATGCAAACGTGTGTGTGTGTACACCTATATGCATATATCCATGTAGCAGTACAGTTATAGGCATTTATCTTTGTAGAGGTGCATCTGTATGTATGCATCCGTACACCCCATGCATTGTGTTAGCAGATGAGCGGGAATTTGGGATTTGATGATTCGCTTTGGCCGTCAGATCTGCTCGATTTCCCACCTCTTCCCTCCTGAAATGGTTACAAGTGGGCAGAAATGCTGGCATTTCCCATCAAAATGGGATGCGCCGGTGTGACTTCTCCCCTCTGCGTCGGGCTTTTTGGGGACAGATCTCACCAAGGGGTGCGATCGCCTCTGTCTCCTCCTCCTCCTCCTCCTCTCTCTGCCCCCAGGGCCTCCGGCCGGCGGATGTCGAAGGTGGTCAGGGATTTCCTTTACGCCCAGAAGGTGCAAGCCCCGGTGGAGATCTACTCGGAGTGGCTGAGTGTGGGCCACGTGGACGAGTTCCTCACCTTTGTCCCCGCATACGACAGGAAGGTACCGTCCCTGCATCCCCAGTGTCGCATGTGGCATCTGCTGCTGATGCAGAAAGCCCTTTATTTTGGCAAATCAGCAGAGAAAAAACAAACAACAACAAAAAAAACCTTGGCTTCTGAGCAAAAGGCAAGGCCAGCCCCGTGCATGAATCTCCTTCCTTTTGGGTTGGCTTCCTGGAAAACGCTGAGTGCCCCGTGCAACCCCTGGGGCTGAGTTTGGGCACGAATGGGCTGGAACATGAAAATCTCCTCTTTTCATAAAAAAAAAAAACACCAATCTTCTGGGCTCATCCCCACAGGGTTTCCGGCTCCTGTTGGCCAGCCCCACCGCCTGCTACAAGCTCTTCCAGGAGAAGCAGAGGCAGGGCCATGGGGAAGCCACACAGCTCGTGGGTAAGGCGGTGGGCGAGGGCGCCCCGGTGGCAGCGGGTGCCGGCGGCGTCCCTCACCGCGGCGCTGCCGTCCCCGTGCAGGGATGTCGGGCACCGAGCGGAGGAGCATCGATGACATCCTGGCAGATGAGGGGCTGAGGAATGACAACAGGCACGTGCAGGTGCGTGGGGGTTTTGTAGCCAGGGGTGGATTTGGGGAGCGCCTCTGCTCGCATGTGGCTCGCACGGGGCATGGGCCGCAATAGGGTCCACAGGGGTCCATGTGTGGGGTTTGGGGAGGCAAATCAGGGTCCCTGCTCTCTGCAGCGCTGCATCGACTGGAACCGCGACCTCCTGAAGCAGGAGCTGGGGCTGAGCGAGCAGGACATCATCGACATCCCCCAGCTCTTCATCCTGAACGGCTCCCGCGCGGACGCCTACTTCCCAGACATGGTGATACCCCCCCAGTGCCCCTTCTCCTCCCTCCCCACCACCTCCTCCCTTCCACGCCCTCCTTTTTCACCTTTTGGGTGAAAAAAAAATGCTTTTTTGGTCCATCCGCAGGTGAACATGCTGGTGCTGGGCAGGCACCTGGGCATCCCCAAGCCTTTTGGGCCACTGGTGGCCGGGCAGTGCTGCCTGGAGGAGCGCGTGCGGGCGCTGCTCGAGCCCCTGGGGCTCTCCTGCACCTTCATCAACGACTACTTCTCCTACCACGTCCTCTCCGGTGACGTCCACTGCGGCACCAACGTCCGCCGCAAGCCCCTAGCCGCCAAGTGGTGGCACGTGGTGCCCTGAAGTGGCCGGGCAGGGGCTCCGGTCCGTCCCGACGGTGGATGAAGGTGGATTTGGAGCATCTCAAAATAAAGTGTTTTGCCAATCTGAGCACCGAGGTGCAGCATTTCCTCGCGGCCCGTCCTGTCTCAGCTTGGTTGAAAAAGCTGGGAAGCTGCTTTTGTTATCAGAAATGTTATGTTGTGAGCGTGCTGCACGCCAGGCAGCAAACATCATGCTGCCTTGGGGGCTGGGACCCCGTCTCACCTATCCTACAGCCCCTTGTCCCAGCTTCACAGTGAATCACCCCCCAGAGTCCCCACATCAGCCCCAAAATCCCCTCCCATTTGTTGGGGCACCTCTTACCCCGTGCAGCACACAGGTGAAGCCCGATGCTTGTGCAAAGCATTTCCCAGATGCCCATGAGCGCATTTCTTTTTCCCCTTTACGTTTACCCATTAAACATCCTCCTGCTGGTGCACCAACCCTTCCATGCACCTGACCCCGTCCCCTTTTGCAGCTGCTCCCTCCTCTGTTCCTCTCCGTGTTTTCTTTGCAAGCAGCCGCGGCGCTGCCCCGTGCCGTGTTTGTGCCCCTGGTCTGGGCCAGCAGGAAGTGGCAGCAGGAACCAAAACCAGCCCCGAGCGGCTCCGGCACGTAGCAGTGCTGACCTGGCAGCTATTGTGGGGCTAAAAACACTTTTATGGGGCAATTTTCAGGCTGTGATACACGGTGCAAAGCGCCAAAAGGGTCACGCGTCCCGGTTCAGGGCCCTGGTTTTGGAAAAAAAGGTGATTTCTTGTCCCTCCAACCCGATTTTCCCCATGGATGGGGCTTGGCTGAGTTTCCCAACTTCCCCAGCCCCAGCACGGAGGAGAAATATTGAATTTCAGCAGCGCGTGACCCCCACAATGCTGTGAGTTGGAGGGAGACAGGTGCATCAACAAAGGCCTCTCCTACGCCCCAAAGAGGATTTTAATTAAAACAAAGATGGGCCAAACGGCAGCGGGTTTTGCTGTCCCTGGTGCAGGTGACGTCCCGGCTGCCATCCCGTGCAATGGATGGGCGAAGCGCCGAGGTTGCACCCAAAAACCAGAAGCATTAAAGCAGTTTTGTTGATTTTTCCCAGCCGGGAAAAGAAAACCTTTCATTCTTGTCTGTGCGAGGAGCCCTGGGAGGAGCGTGTGGCGGCGGCACCGGGAAATAAAACCCCTCTGAGCCCTGTGCTGGCACACCACCAGCTCAGCTCTGGTGTCGCACTGAATATTTCATGGCGTGGGGTTCTCCAGGGTGGCAGCATTTCTTTGTTATGTTGGGGAAAAAAAGCACCGTTTGGGAGAAAGCAGAGGCTGGGGGCGTTCTCGGGGTGCGTTCCCCTGCCGCTGATTCATGCTTTGTCGCTGGAAGGCTCAGCAGTGCGCACCCAGCTGACAGCCCAGAGGTGGGATCAGGCCAGGCTTTGGTTAATCCCCTCCCCGCGGCCAGGCTTTATAATCCCCTCGTGCCACCCGTCACAGCACCCAAGGGTGCCCGGTGCCGCCGGCATGGCCCAGCAGCGCCGTGTCCACCTCTGCACCCAGCGCCCCACCAGCACCGTCTGCGTGCTGGGCACCGAGCTCTCCCTCGACGTCCTGGGGTAAGTGGCCAAAAACCTGCTTTTGGCTTATTTTTCCCCCTCCTCCTGGAGGAATTAAAGGCTGGATTAGGTGAGGAGAGGGTAAAAATAGCGGTGGGTGGGCTGCACCGGGTGGGCTCCCCAGGGGCTCTCAGCCTCTGAAGGAAGGGGATCGCGCCCACCGGTGCTCGCTGTAGGGTGGGATCGCACCCACCAGTGCCCGTGGCGGCTGCACAGTGCTCGGGATGCACAAGAGGAGTTTGCAAACACCAAGGAGAAAGAGCTTTTGGGTGCAAAACCCCCCAGGGTGATGCATCCAGCTGCATTTCTCTTCCTCGCTTGAGCATCCCATGGCAGGGGCTCCTTTGCCCAAAAATTGGGGTGAAGTAGAACGATTCCCCTGTTCAGGGGAGTCCAGAGAGTTAAACTCTGGAGGCACTGCTCACCGGGGCGTTACCTCCAGCCATCCGTGTCTTTTACCAGCTTTGCTGGCCCCAGCCCAGTTTCAAGTTCTTTCCAGCAGCAAGTTTTGCTTTTTTTTTGTTTTCCAACTTTTCGGTTCTGCTTTTTCTATTGCTTCGTGCATCTCCGCGCTGCCCAAAACGCGGCTGCTGACCCATGGGCACCAGCAGCAGCAGGAAGGGGGGGTTCTCCCCCCTCCTCACAGCACTTCAGCAGGTCCCTGCGGATGGATCCTGCCCCGGCCATGTCCTCTGCACTGGCACGAGCGATGCAGGCTGCAGCCTGCCTGGCTGCCGGCACTTCCCCCTGGCCCCGTCTTGGTTCTTGCAACTGTCATGACTCTGCTTCGCTCCGACGGGGACGTATTTGCTGCTGCGGGGCAAAATTCAAATGTTTGGGAGACCCCATGCAAAAATATTAATAAGAAAAATGCTCCGGGTTTTTGTTGCAGTTGAATATAAAAGAATATTGCAGCACTGGTGGCATTGGGCAGGATTTGTTGCAATTGCATACGGCGGGATTTGCCACAACTGAACGCTGCAGGATTTGTTGCTGTTGCACATTGCAGGTTTTGATGCATTTGTCACAGTTGAATATTGCAGGACTCGTTGCAGTTTGCAGCACTTGTTGCAATTGAATATGTCAGGATTTGTCACAGCTGGGCACCGCCAGCTTTGATTCTGTTGTAGGACTTGCTGCATTTTGCAGGATTCGTTGCAACCAAACACTGCAGGATTTGCTGCACGTTGCCAGATTCTTTGCATTCTGCAGGGTTTGTTGCAGTCGCACCTTGCAGGACTCGTTACACCTGCACACCTACCCCTGCAGCGTGCAGCAATGCCCAAAGCACCCCCGTGGCTCTCACCGCTGTGCTCCCCCGCAGGTCGGCGCCCAAAGATGCCGTTGCCTTCCACGTGCAGGGGACGCCGGGCGTGAAGGTCTACGTGGTGCACGAGACGCAGAGCGTGAAGCTGCCCTCCAGCGTCGGCCGCTGGCCCCTGGCCCCCAGCACCGAGGTGCTGGTGACCATGGAGGCGCTCAGCAAAGATGTTGGTGATGAAAAGGTTGGTGCCGGCCATCCGGGAGGATCTGGGCCCCTCTCCGGATGGCGCTGAGCTCGCCGGCTGTGTTGCAGGTCAGGATTTCCTATTTTGGGGAGGCCAGCGGGGTGCCGGTGGGCAGAGCCATGCTGTACCTCACCTGCGTGGGTAAGTTGGGCTGCTTTGTCCCTAAAACGTGGTGTCACTGCGGCGCCCGCCCCGATGAGCATCCCTGTCCCCGCAGACATCTCACTGGACGCCGACACCAGCCGCAGCGGGTCGGTGGGCAGGACGCTGGTGGACAAGGTAACGTGGGGACTGCAGCCCCCGACCCCATTGCTATCCCTGATGGTGTCCTCAGCCCCGCTTTGCTGTCCCCAGGCCACATGGACGTGGGGTCCCGACGGGCACGGCGCCATCCTGCTGGTGAACTGTGACCGCGACGACCCCAAGAGCGGGGTGATGGATAACAGCGACACCGCCGTGCGCTCCTACGAGGGTACCGCCACACACCCGCCTCCCTTTTTCTGCTTCTCCTTGCTTTCCGTGACTTTCCTCCCCAATTTATCCTCGCTGTCACCCTAGACCTGAAGGACATGTCGCAGATGGTGCTGCGCACGCGTGGTCCCCGCACCATCTTCACCGGCCACCGCCTTGTCCTCCACGTGGATTTCGGCGAGGCTGACAAAGTCGGCGTTTTCTACGGCGGCAGTGAGTGCCGGCACCAGGGCGGGGGGCCACGTAGACCCCCCTGTTAATGGGGTGGGGGTAAAATGAGAGCAGACACCTCTCATTCGCATGCTTTTGGTGAGGGTGCCGGATGGTTTTGTGCTCGCCGCAAGGCTCCAAGTGCATGCCCGATGCCGTGGCCATGGGGCGAGCTGCCCCCGTCGCAAGGCTTTAAGCGAAGAAGCGGAGGTGAAATCCTACAGGTTGAGGGTGGGCGCTCAAGGATGTTGCTTGTGTCTGCAGACAGCGTCTCGCTGGAGGAGTACAAGCACGTGCTGGGGGGTCAGAAGCTCGCCTACGCCGTGAAGCCCAGCCGGCACCAGGAGGAGAGCATCTTCTTCGTGGAGGGGCTCTCCTTCCCCGACGCCAGCTTTTCAGGGCTGGTTTCCTTCCACGTCACGCTGCTGGAGAGCCCCGAGAAGGTAACGCCATAAATCGGGATGGGTTTTACACACACAGAGGGGAGCGATGGCCCATCCTTGTGTCCCCCCGTCCTTGCAGGGCTTGCTGGAGATGCCGATCTTCACGGACACGGTGGTTTTCCGCGTGGCTCCTTGGATCATGACGCCCAACACCCTGGCGCCGCTGGAGGTCTTCGTGTGCAGGTGGGTGGCAGCACGAGGTGGCCGCATCCTGCCCGGCTCCACCGCATCCTCAGCTCCGTGCTGCTTCACTTCCCAGTGTGGAGGACAACGAGGACTTCGTGGCGGCCGTCAGTGCCCTGGCCGAGGAAGCCAAGTGCCCCGTGACCATCTGCCCACTGCTGGAGAACCGCAACGACCGCTGGATCCAGGTGGGTGCGCGAGGGGGCTGAGACCCCCCTGGGGTGCTGCCCTGCAGCTCCATGGGGCTCCCCCTTCTTCTCCGCTCTCTCCACAGGATGAGGTTGAATTTGGCTATGTGCAAGCCCCCCATAAGACGTTCCCTGTGGTCTTCGACTCACCCCGTGACCGAGGGCTGAAGGATTTCCCCGTCAAGAGCATCCTGGTACGCACGAGACATTTTCTGCATCCACCTACATTCTTGGCATTAGTGAGGCATTGCACTGCACTGAGGCAGTCTGCAAGATGATGCTGATGATAAATCACCGTGGTTTAGTGGTGGGACTCAGTAGGGCAGGCTGATGGTTGGATGTGATGATCTGGAAGGTCTTTTCCAACCTTGATGAATCCGTGCCTCTATCATGGATACATTTCTTTTTTTTTTGCATTTATGGAAAGAGGATCAGCTGAGTCAGCAGGCACATTTGGCAAAGAGGTGTTGTGCTTTGGGGTTTTGGCATCCCTGAGAAGGGCTTTTAAAGCCATCCTTGCTTTTCCCCCCCCCCAAGGGCCCTGATTTCGGGTACGTGGCTCGGGACGTGCAGAAGGACGCCTCCAGCCTCGACTCCTTCGGCAACCTGGAGGTCAGCCCGCCGGTGACGGTGGGGGGCAAGGAATACCCGCTGGGCCGCATCCTGATCGGCAGCAGCTTCCCCAGGTGAGGGGCTTGGGTTTTTTTTGGGGTACGTCGCCGAGAGGTGCCCCTCACCCTGGGGCTGTCACCCCCCAGGTTCGGTGGCCGGCGGATGGCCAGGGCCGTGCGGGATTTCCTCTTTGCGCAGCGGGTGCAAGCACCCGTGGAGCTCTACTCCGACTGGCTCCACGTCGGGCACGTCGATGAATTCCTCAGCTTCGTCCCTGCCCCTGATCGGAAGGTGGGCAGCCCTTGCTTGGGGTGCATTTTGTAGGGTGCGGCCCCAAATCTGCACCGCTGCCCCCAAATCACCCCTCTCCATCCCCAGGGTTTTCGGCTGCTCCTGGCCAGCCCCAGCGCCTGCTACCAACTCTTCAAGGAGAAGCAGGAGCAAGGTTTTGGGGAGGCAGCGATGTTTCAGGGTAGGGAAGCTGGGGGACCCCCGCCAGCCCCCCCCCTGCCATGTGTCCCCCAGCATAGGGTGACGGACTGCTCCCCCTCTGTGCTGCAGGACTGCAGGCGGTGCCCAAGCCAACCATCAACGAGATCCTGGCTAACGAAGCGCTCCGGAAATTCAACAGCTACGTGCAGGTGAGGAAGGGGAGCGGGGAGATGCCCTGCACCCCCCCTGCCTGCCCCACTGCCCCTCTTTTCCCCATCCACCTCCCTGTCCCTCTGTCCCTCTCCCCACCTCCCCATCCTTCTGTCCGTCCATCTGTTCCTCTCCCAATTTCTTGTGTCTCCAACCCCATCCCAACCCTGTCCCCCCACTCCCCCACCCCTCCATCTCTCCCCATCACCCCTCGCCCTCACTCCCTGCCCCCCGAGCCCCCCAGGCCCCCTCCCGACCCCCTCGCCACCCTCCTTCCCCGGCAGAACTGCATCAGCTGGAACCGGGACATCCTGAAGCGGGAGCTGGGGCTGGCCGAGCAGGACATCATCGACATCCCCCAGCTCTTCCAAGGCAACGAGCAAGCCCGCGCCAACGCGTTTTTCCCTGACATGGTAACACAAAGCTGCAGGGATGCTTTGGGGATGGGGGTAGGGAGGGCTCGCTGTGGATTTAGGGTTGCACACTGGCATCCATCCATCCGCAGGTGAACATGCTGGTGCTGGGCAGGCACCTGGGCATCCCCAAGCCTTTCGGGCCACTGGTGGCCGGGCAGTGCTGCCTGGAGGAGCGCGTGCGGGCGCTGCTCGAGCCCCTGGGGCTCTCCTGCACCTTCATCAACGACTACTACTCCTACCACGTCCTCTCCGGAGAGGTCCACTGCGGCACCAACGTCCGCCGCAAGCCCTTCGCCTTCAAGTGGTGGCGCATGGTGCTCTGAGCCACCCTGGCTTTCCTCCTTTTTTTCCCCCAAATCCTTCTCCCCATTCCTGCAAGTGCCTTCAGCAGCGGTGGCCCCCCCCCACAGCTCCCTGTTGGAAATAAAACCAGGGCTGCGGCTTGCTCCCAGCTTCCTGCCTCTTCCTGGGTGCTCAGGCTTGAAGTTTTGCTGTGAATGGGGTGATTTTTTTTTTGTATTTATTTTTTTTTGGACTCTGTGGTGCCCTTGGCACGATGCTGTGGGCTGACAGCAGGTGGTGGGACATTGGCATTGCTCTCCCGGCACAGGAATCGAAGATCTATCTAAAGGGTGCAGGGAAGAGAGTTTGGAGGGATTATGCAGTCCTGCTGCAGTGATGCGTTGTGGAAAAGGGATGTGGATGTGTGCAAAAAAAGTCCCCATACATGCATGCACAAAAATGCACTTGCAGGCTCATAAAATATACACGAATGCACCAAAAATATGAATGCCTAACACACGCGCGTGTACACAAAATACATGCACACAAGCACCCATGTAAGCACACGTACACATGCATGGAAAAAAAAATGCACAGATGCGTGCCCAAAAACGAGTGCGTGGACAAGAGTACAGACAAAAATACCTGCGTGGACAAATGCACCCGAAGAAACGCATGCACAAAAATAAATGCACGCATGCACAAAAACCACACGCATGCACACACATGCACACACTGCTTTTTGCTTGCAAAATCCCAGGGAGATAGTGGAGAGCTATTTTGGGGCTGAGCACCGTGTCAGCAGCAGGATGGTGCCCTCTAACGGCTGCGGATTTGCTTTTGGCGATACTGGGGCAGGGCCCGTGTTGCATTGAGCATCCCAATCCCTTCTGGTTAAAAAAACAAAGAAAAAGGGGGCAGGCAGAAAGGAGGGGAGATGCCAGGGCAGGGTGCTGCGCCCAGCCAAATATTTGGGACTGGGGTGTGCATCGGGGCCGAGGAGCGGAGCCAAGGGGTGTACACAATGACGTTGTTTATTTAAACATTTACTCCAAGAAATATAAAAACAAACATGAAGAAGACAATTACAGCACTAAACCAGGAACCTGTCGTCTCACCTAAAAGGAACGCTGCTCAGAGAGCCTCGTGGTTTATTATTATTTTATTCTTCCAGCCTCCTCCTTCGCTCGCCCGCTGCCAGGACACAGCGGCACATGGGGGAGAACATCACCAGGAGCATCGATCCGAGCCTCAAATATTTTGTGTAAAAGCAGGACAAGCCCAAATTGCTTTTGGGGGGTGAAAGTGGGTTTTTGCTGTTTTTTCCACCCCTATCATGCAGCATCTGCAGCATCCCCTCGTGCCCATTTGGGGTAGGCAGCTGATGGTGATGAGCTTGAAATATTCATCGCAAGTAGAAAAAAAATTGGGGGATAAGGCTAGAAAAGCCCCGCTGTGGGGTGCTGCATGCTCCCACCTCCTCACCACCCATTTTTGGAAGGGCTGGGTGCTTGCAGCAAATGCTAGTATTGCTCAAGAAAACAGAATATCCAACTTCTCCACCCTGCTGCTCTCCTTGTCCTGGAAGCTTTGACTCTAACACACTGAAACAAACCCCAAAATAAACCCCAAAGCAAACATAAAGAACCCCCTTTTAATTCTTTTTTTTTTTTTTTTTTTTTTTTTTTTTCCATAAAGTACTGCAAAATTCCCCGCAGGGCCACGTGGCGCACCACCAGCAAACTGCCAGGGAGAGTGGAAAGGAATTAAAAAAAAAAAATCAAAATAAACCCTAAAAACTAAAAAATAAAATAAAATAATAAAAAAAAAAACACCCTTGGGTTTTGTGGAGGCAGAGCCGGGCTCTGCGTATAAAGGCACCTCGTTTCTCCAGCACAGTGCACAGCGTTGCCTGAGGAGGGGCTTTTGGCAGATACCAGGCAGTGGAAATAATAATAATAATAAAAATAATAATAATTAACAAAAAAAAAAAAAAAGGAAAAAAGCTTGCACGACGCTTCAGGGCCCGCTCTTCATACCTGAGATCGCCCTGGGATGGGCAGCGGGGGGGCTTGGGGGGGCGCAAAAGCGGGGGGCAGGCGGCTTGGGGGCATCCAACCCCCAAATGATGCAGGGCTGGGGAGAGGACCCGCTTCGTCCCCCAAGAGTGAGGGACAACAGGCTTGTCCCTAAATCCTCCTGGGAAAAAGGGATGCTGGGGATCAGAACCTCAGAATTACAGCACCCAAGGTGGAGGCTGCTTGGGAGAAATGCCAAAAAAATGCAATATTGTGGGGCAAAAAGGCATTTTGCAGTGTTTTGCTTGATTTTCGCTCCGAGCTCGCAACTGGGTGCTTGTGGGGAAATTTGTGGCTAGGAAAAGGAAAAAATAATAGTAAAAAAAAATGGACACCTGTTCAGGCGAACCCGGCACCTTCCTTTCTGTGCGAAACAGCAGAAAAAAAGAGAAAAACAAAACAAAACGAAACAAAAACAAACAAACTACAAAACCAAACCAATAAAACAACGAAAAAGCCTGGATGTGCCAAAAGGTCCTGCTAGGGTCGGGATGGGAACTCAAACAGCCACGGGGGAAGGTCTTGGCCGTGGTGGTGAGGGAAAAACCCCAACGCTTTGGAAATCGTAGGAGAACAGGTAGTTAAAACCGCGGATCGCTTGGAAAACCGGGGCGGGCGGCTCGGCTGCCCCCCGGCCCCTCAGAGGGTGCGGGGGTTGTACTCGGGCAGCTTGCGCAGCTTCTCCTTCTCGGCGTCGCTCTCGTCACGGGCGATCACCAGCGAGTGGGCATAGCCCATGGCCACCTGGGGGCAGAAGGGGAAATTGAGGCAAAACCATCTCCTGCTGACTCGGGACCCCTTTTCGTTATCCGGGGCCATGCTTGAAGAGCGTCTCATGGGTGGGGGCACTCAGTGGGGGGCAGCACCCAGTGGGGGGCACCCCAAAGGTGACAGCATCTCAAGGGTGACAGCCTCCCATGGGTTGGAAGCACCCAAGGGTGCAGGTATTTGGGTCCCTGCTCACCTGCTCCGTGTAGATCCCATCCAAGGTCTTCACCTCTTGGGCAGCCGTCGACGATTTGGGCTTGTGGTCCCCATAGCCCTGCAAAACGCAAGCAGGCCCCCTAAATAATTGGCTGTGGGGGGGACGCACAACACCCAGAGCCCCTGCACCAAATGATTTGGGGGGAGGGGATGGGTAAATCTGGGTGCTGGTCATTCCTTACCAGCTCTCCAAAGGTGGGAGATGGCCCCCAGCTGATGGTGCTCTCATCTGCCGCCACGATGATGCTGCTCTTCCTACAAGTGAAGTGCAAGGCAGTGACCCCCAGCCCCAGCAACGCCCCCACCTCCCAGGAAAAACACCAGGAAAAAGATTTGGGGTGGTCCATCACTCACCCACAGGCCAGGCTGCGGATCTTCCAGCCGCACAGATCCTGCACGGCTTTGGGGTACATGGTGGACTCGCGGGAGGTGTTGGTGGCACCCCAGAAAAACAAGCCGCCTGCAAGCCCCAAAAACACACGGTCAGATCCGTGCCTCCCGCCTCGAGCATCCCCACAGCGATGTAAATAACGGTGGATTTGCTTGGATAGACCAAAATTAGGGGCTCGGGGCGTGCCACCCACCCGTTTCGCTGACGGCGAAGGAGCAGGTGTAGCCGGCGTAGATCTGCGCTGCCCCACGGCCTGGGAAGTCGAAGAGCTTGACCAGCCGTGGCACCATCTCGTCCTTCTGCTCCGCGTGGCCCAGCCGTCCGTAGCCACCAAAACCCCAGGAGAAAACACGCTTCTGCGAGTCCAGGACGAGCTGGGGACGGAGGGACACCCATGGTGAGCCGGGCAGCTCGGTGCAGCAGCCGCAGTGACTGCACTGCAACCCCTGCTGCAAGCATCATCCTTAAACACACGCTGCAGTTCTCTATCCCTAAATACGCCCTGCAAGAGTGTGACCCTACTCACACTGCAACTGCTTGTTCCTGAGTGCACCCTGTAAATTCTCCCTCCTTGAATGCATGCTGCAAATCTGTCCTCGAATGCATGCCCCAAGTGTTTCCTCCTAACCCACCCTGTGAAGCTGTCCTTAAATAAGACACAGATCTCTGCCCATAAATGCATGCTGCAAGTACTTATCCTTAAATGCACCCTGCAAATCTTTATCCTTAAATGCCTGCTGTGACTATTTATCCTTAAATGTGCGCTGCACTTCCTCCTAAATGCACTCTGCAAATCTGTATCCATAAATGAACACTGCGGATACTTACCCTTAAGTGCATGCTGCAAACCGTTACTCTTAAGTGCACGGTGAAAGAACTTTTCCTTAAATGCAGGCTGCAAAAATTTACCCGTAAATGCACCCTGCAAATCTCCGTCTGTAAATGCTCGCCGCAAACTTTCTATCCCTAAAAGCACACCGCAAACTTGTTATCCCTAAACGCATGCTGTAAGGGTGGGCAACTGCAGGGTTTGCTGAGGGGATGTGATGGATTTTTTTTGCCGCGATCACAAATTTGCAGAAAAAGGACGCGGTGATGAAAAGCCAAGCCCTCGGTGCAAAAACCCAAAAGGAAAAACCCTATTTCTGCCTCCTCACCGTGTGGTTGGCCCCGCACGCCACGTCCCGCACCACCACGTTGGGGACGGGCAGGATCTGCCCATCTTTGGTCTTCTCAATGAAGATGGCCACGCGGCGCGGCACCAGCTCGCAGTCGTACTCGATGCGCTGCGCGCGGGCGATGAACTTCCCATCCGAGTTGTGCCCTGTGCGGGAGCACCGCGTTACAAAGCCAATCCCCCCTCCGCTTGCAAACTCCACATTTTTAGGTTTGCACCCCATTTTGGGATCTATTTCTGCTGGCGTTACAGGGGAGCAGCACGGCGCAGGTCATGCTTTGCTGCATTTCAGCATTTCATGGATGGGAAAACAGAGGCAGGGAGCCCCCCCACCCCCTCGCACGGTAGCTCGAACCTTTAAAAACAGTCCCCAAAACGTTACCGTACCCAGCTGCCCGTACTCAGGGCACCCAAAGGAGTAGAGGTTTCCTTTGCAGTCCATGATCATGCTGAACTCGGCCCCGCAGGCCATTTTGGTGATGGGCTGCCCGTTGTACATGATCTGCAGAAGAAGAAAGGGGATAGAAAGTCAAGAAAAAGGCAAAAATATCAATTTCCTGTGGGAGGAAACATCTCTGGGAGCTCACCCCTACCCCAGCTTCTTTTCTTTGGCCACCAGTTTTCACCTCCAGAAGATCAAGACCTAAAGTCCCAGGTTTTCACCTCAAAAGGGGAACCAGACAACCGCCAGGGTAGAGGTTTGGGCTGGTGGTAACGGAGAAACCCCCAAATCCTTCAACATTTGTATCAAAGTTTTGAAAAATATTTTTTTTCCATGTTGTGCTTTGTGCACCCAATTTCAAAGCCAGCTGCACCTTCAAGAGGAATGTCCTTGCACCCTACAGGGGTTTGGGCTATGCTAAGGGCTTTTTCAATGAAAAAACAAAAATATGGTGTTTTTCATCCCTCAAAAAAAGGGGAAGGCACGGAGAGGAGTGGATTTACCTGTGTAGGGCTTGGAACAGCATCCGTTTGGTTGCCGAGCCCCAGCTGCCCCATTTTATTCTCCCCAAAGGCGAACACGGAGCCATTCTCTGCAAGCCACGAAGAGGGAAAAACATAAAATTAGGGGAAAACGCGGCCGTTTTAGGGTATTTTGCAGGAAGCAGGAACTTCTCCCTTACCTGTGAGAGCCAGCGTGTGGTTCCGGCCACACGCTGCCAGCACAATGGCCTCGTTGCCCAGCACCTCGATGAGCTTGGGGGCTTCCACGCGCTTGGTGTCCCCGTGGCCCAGCTGCCCCTTCTCGTTGCGACCTAACAAGAACGAGGGGTTTGGGGGCTGCACACCGGGAGGACGAAGCCCCCCCGGCGTGACCCCGCCAGGTTTTGCATCATTTTTTTTCGGGGGGCAAAAATTTTGCATCATTTTTTTTGGGGGGCTTGGCTCACCCCAGCTCCAGAGCTTGCCCTCGGCGGTGATGAGGAGGCTGTGAGCCGCGCACGGTCCCGAAACCACGCTCCGCACCTGAATCCCTGAGAGACACCCATACCTGTGTGGCCCCCACAGATTCTGGCCCAGGTTCCGATATGCAACTGGGGGGGAAAAAAGGCGAGAGGTGAGGACGCACGGCACTAAATATTGCTTTGGGGCTGCTCTGCGCCAGCTTTGGTGCCGCACACACGGACCGCAGCCGTGCGCTCCGCTCACCTTGCTGCTTAGGCACTTCTTTGCGGCCGATCAGGTCCCAGTTGGTGGCTCCGAAGATCAGGAGTTGCCCTCGGCACTTGGAGCCCTCGAGTTTCTGCAATTGGAAGGGAGGATTCATCAGCCTTCCCGCGGCCACCTCGATCTCATGGGGATTTTTTGCATGCGGGGTCGGATAAGGGTACAGAACACCCCAGCTTGCACGTGCTCTCCCCTTCAGTCCTCATTTTGCATCCAAGCTTGCAATCCAAACTGCATTTCTGAGCTAAGTGGTACGGGGACGAGGGAGATTTTTTGCAATTGGACATTAAAGCCCCAGTGCTGCAGCCCCAGAAGGGAACAGAAGCAAAACGCTCCCCTTTTTTGGCTCCCCCTCTTTGCACGCTGGCAAATGGGTCTGAAACGTGGGGTTTGGCTCTTTGCAGGAAGGAGCGGGGATTTGCACAACGCCCAGCGCTGGTTAATTAGTAATTACGGTTTTTCCCCACCTAAAAGGATGCTGTGACGCTAGGCAAAGCTGCGAAGAGGAGAGCACGTGCAGCGTGAGCTGTCTGCACGGGGCGGGGGGCAAAGGGTTAATCTGGGTTCAGTGCAAAAAAAAGTGGATTATTTAAAAAAAAAAACAAAAAAACTGCTGCCAGCTTGCCTCCCCTGCACGGGGCGGGAAGGAAAATCTCCACAGGGCTGCAAAAGGAACAAGAAAACCAGCGTGGCTGAAAACCTCTCGTCTAAAGCCACCCGGGGCCGGGCTCGCACCAATTTCTGCGATTTCTGCTTTTTGCAGCAAGCGAAGTTAGAGGGAGCTACAAACAGCAGGAAAGGCTCAGGGCGTGGGGACGGACGGGTGGATGCGGGGTGTAAAAGCACCGCCGGCTTTGCAGCCGTGGGGACGGGGGGGGTCCTATGAAAGCCCCCCCCTCAAAATAATGGGGGGCTGCCCGGGGCGCATGCGCGGAGCCGGGGTGGCCACGCGGGAGCCTCAAAGCGCGTGCTCGGCTGCGCGTGCCCGCCCGGGGAACCCCCAAAATGAGGCGGAAAAGGGGAAAAAAGGGAGCGGAGCAGCGTGCCTGGAATGCAAAGCGGGGGGCAGGCTGGAAGGGGGTGCAGAAATATGGGGGGGGGGGGCACCGCACGTGCGCGCACCCCCGCGTTGCACATGGGATTTCTCAGCGCTGCGCTGGGTTAAAAATTCCCCAAATGGGTCAACTCTGACAAAACAACCCAAAAGCTATTTTTGGACTTCCCTTTGGCATGAATTAGGACAAAGGAGGGGGGGGGGGGGGGGGGGGGGGGCTCCTGGTGCTGGAAAAAAAAAAAAGGGGAACCTGCACCCCCCAGCGCTGGCACACATTAGGGGTGCGATCTGAGGGGGGGAGCTGGGGGGCAATTTAGGGGATGCAAATAGGATGCAGCTTTTGGGGGGGCAATGAGGTGATTTTGATAAGGGGGGGCAAGCTGCAAGCAGAAGTCGAGGGGTACAATAAAGGGGGGGGTGACTTTAGGGGTGCAAAACACATTTAAGGGGTGCAATCTCGGGCAGTGATTTGGGGACGCAGGTAAAGGGGTGATTTAGGGGTGCAATAAAGGGGATGGGATTGGGGGGGGTGCGTTTAAGGGGTACAATTTGGGGGTATTTCCTAGCGGGGGGGAGGTGGGGGCATGCAATGAGGGGCGCTGCAGGGGAGTGCAATGAAATGTTGTGTTATTGGGGTGCAATGGGGGGGGTGAAGGTCTTGGGGGGGGCATTAAAAGGAAGGGGAGCCCAGTAGGGGGTCAGTAAGGAGTGCTATGAGGGGGTGCAGAGGGGGGGGGGTGTCCAAAAAGGGTGCGGATTAGGGGGTGCAACAGGGAGGTGCAAAGATGGGGTGTACTGGGGGGGTGGTGGGAGTTCAAAGGGGGGGCGCAACGGGTGCATGAGGGGGGTGCAATGTGGGGGTGCAAAACGGGTGCATAAGGGGATGCAGGGAGCAAAGGGGGGGTGAATGGGGGTGCAAAGGGGGGGGGTCCTTTAGGGGGCACAACGAGAGGGTGCATTAGCTGCAGCGGGGGGTGCGGAGGGGAGGTGAGTTGGGGGGGGCACAAAGGGGGGTTAGAAAAGGGGGGGGGCATTGAGGGTGCAAAGAGGGGGTGAAAAAGGGGGGTACAAAGAGGGGGTGCAATGGGGGGGTGTTAAGGGGGTGCAAAGAGGGGGTACAAAGAGGGGGTGCAAAAGGGGGTGTTAAGGGGGATACAAAGGGGGGGGTGCATTGAGGGTCCAAAGGGGGGGTGCAAAGGGGGGGTGCAAAGGGGGACTGTTAAGGGGAAGATGAAGAGGGGGTGCAAAGGGGGGTGTTAAGGGGGGTGTGCATTGAGGGTGCAAAGCAGGGGTGCTGGGGGGGGGTTTTGGGGACACGGGGTGGGGGGGGTGCCGAAGGGGTTGCCCCGCTCACGATGCGCTCCTTGCTGTGCTCGGGCTCGCAGATGACCACGGCCTGGCCCCTGGCCGCCCCAGCGGGCCCCGTGCCCCTCCGTTGCCTCCGGAGCCGGCCCCCCCGGGCCTGCCGGGCCTCCTCCCGACGGGGCTCCCGTCCCTCGGCCGCCGTTCCCGGGGCGCCTCCTCCTCGCTGCTTCCTCCGCTGCTGCCGCCTCCTCCTCCTCCTCCTCCTCCTCCTCCACCACCTCCACCTCCTCCTCCACTACCTCCTCCTCCTCCTCCTCCTCCTCGCTCGGGCCGCGGCCGTCGCCTCCCTCCCGCCGCCGACGACAAGGCCGCGGCCGCCCCGGGTCTCCTCCTGCCGGGGCCCGGCTCCCAGGGCGGCCCCGCCGCCTTCCTGCGGGGCATGGCGCCTGCCGAGGGAGCGCCGCCGTCACCCGCCGAGCACCGCCGGCCCGGCCCCCCCCCCGCAAACCCCCCCCCATCATCATCATCACCACAGCCCGGCCCAGCCCCCCCCCCCCCCTCCTCTTATCACCCCCCCCCCCCCAGCTCCCGGAGCTCGGTTACAAAGAGGGGGGAGAGGGGGGCCCGGAGCCGTCGGGGGAAGCCCCCCCCCAACCCCCCCACAAGGAAAATAAGGGGGTGGGGGGGGAAATAAGGGGGTGGGGGGGGGGTATAAGGGGGTGGGGGGGTCAAGGGGGGTGGGAAGGGGGTGGAAAGGGGGGATTTGGAAAGGGGGTGCAAAAAGGGGGGGGGAAAGGGGTGAGAAGGAGGGGGTGCAAAGTGGGGGGGGTGCAAAGTGGGGGGGGTGTAAAGGGGGGGTGGGAAATGGGGGGGTGCCAAGGGGCGATTTGCAAAAAAAGGGGGGTTGCAAATGGGGTGCAAAGGGGGGATTTGGAAAGGGGGGTGGTAAAAGGGGGGGTTGGTAAAAGGGGGGGGATTTGGGAAAAGGGGGGTTGCAAATGGGGGATTTGTAAAAGGGGGGGTTGGAAAAAGAGGGGGTGCAAAGGGGGGGGAAAGGAGCGACTTGCAAATGGGGGGGTGCCAGGGGGAGATTTGCAAAGGGGGTGGTAAAAGGGGGGGGTGCGGAGAGATTTGAGAATGGGGGGGTGCAGAGGGGCGGCTTGCAAAAGGGGGGGTTGGAAATGGGGTGCAAAGGGGCGATTTGCAAAGGGGGTGCAGCTGGGGGGGGTGAAAAACGGGGCGAATTGAAGCAAGGGTTTGTAAAGGGGGGGTTGCAAACGGGGGGGGTACAAAGGAGAGATTTGCAAAGGGGGGGGTTGCAAAGGAGCGATTAGCGACGATGGGGTTGAAAAAGGGGGACGGGGGGGGGGGGGGTTACAAAGCAGGGGTTGCAAAGGAGCGATTAGAAAGGATCGTTTGTAAGGGGGGGGGGGGGGGTCGCACCCCCCCGGGGCACAGTACCGAAGCTGCGGGTGGAAAGAAAGAAAATAATAAAAGCCGCCCCCCCCCCGAAAAAAAATAAAAAATAAAAAATGAAAAGGGCTCCGAGACAAAAAGCCCCCCCCAGCCCCCCCACCTGCTCTCGGGGGGGTCCCGCTTGTGCCGCCGCCGCCTGCAGCCCTTATCGGCCACTTGGCTGCTACTTTTTTTTTTTGGGGGGGGGGGTGTTTTATTTTTTTATTTTTCTTTTTTTTTTGCTTGCGGCCAAGTCGTTTGGGGGGGGGGGTGAATTTTATAGGGGGGTGCAAAAAAATTCAAGCAGCTCGGGCCGCCTCCCCGTCCCCCCCCCCCGTCCCCCCCCCGGTGGCTCCGTCTCTTCCCCTCCGTCTGCCCCTGCTTTTTTTTTTTTTTTTTTTTTATTGATTTTGAACAATGGGATCTCTGTCTGGCTCCCATTAACCCACGTGGATCCGCCTTCCTTCCTTCTCTTTTTTTTTTTTTTTTTTTTTAAATTTTACCCCCCCCCCCCCCCTTCCCTCCTCCTCCTCCTCCCGCGGCCCCCCAACTTCGTGCACCCCCTCCCCAAACCCCCCCCACCAAACCCCGCGCTCGCCCCCCCCGGCACGGTTGCAAACCTGGTTTTAGGGCGAAGGGTGCAGCATAAAGAAAGCACCAACTCGGGGCCTTTGCAATATTTTTGGTGCTGTTTCCTGTTGCAGAAAAAAGGAGGTTGTGTTTTTTTTTTTTTTTTTTTTTTCTTCTCCCTTTCCTCCCCTAGCGCCCACCCACCAGATGCACTTAAAATGTAAATATGAGCCGCCAGAACAAATGCTACGATACAAAACAGAAACACATGTACGGGCAGGAAAAAAAAAAAAAAAAAAAAAAAGAAAAAAAAGAGCTTTGGAGAGGAAGAGGCTGCGAGGTCCGGCTGTGCACGCACAGCTCCATCTTTAGGACAGGAAGACTCCGGGAGGGCATCGCGCTTTCCCATTTTATTTTATTTTATTTTATTTTATTTTATTTTATTTTATTTTATTTTATTTTATTTTATTTTATTTTATTACTTTATTTTATTTTATTTTATTTTATTTTATTTTATTTTATTTTATTTTATTTTTTATTTATGTTATTTTATTTTTTTTTAAATTTATTTTATTTATATTTTATTTATATTCTATTTTTTCCTAAGGAAAGGTGCACAGCGCTTATTGCAAAACGCCCCCCCCCCTTATTGCAAAGCATTTCATTGCATTTTTGCCAAGGAAAGATGCACACGCTCACTGGGTTGTAAAGAAATTCTTTTGCAGGTGCAGAGATGCGCTCACTCCGCTTACTGCAAAGAGTTTTCTTGCCATGGAAAAAGACAGACTCGTTCCTTTTATGGCAAAGACTTTTTGCAGAGGAAAAATACATTTCTTCCCCTTGTTGCAAAGCAAGTATTTTTACAGAGGGAAGATGCACTCATTCCCCTCCTTGCAATGAGATTTATTATTATTATTATTTTTTTTTCCAGGAGGGAAAATGCACTCATTTTCCTTATTGCATTTTTTTTTTTTTTCCCAACAGAAAGATTCTTTTTTTTTTTTTTTTTTTTTTTTCGAAAAAAAGGAATTCCTTTTCCTTTTCTTTTCCTCTTGCAGGAGGGAAGATGCAGGCAGCTGCCCCAGCCCTTCTCAGCAGCTGCATTTTTGCCTCTCGGGCCCAGAGCCGTGCAGGCTGCGATGCACGTGCAATTTTGGGACTTGGTCCCAGGGGCCGGCGGTGGGCAACGGCTCCTGCTTCCTGCCATCTGCAGCACTTGCAAAAATGCCCCAGAAGGCCAAAGCGGCAGCAAAAACTCAGCGTTGCTCAAGAGAAGTCGTTTTTTGGGGGGTGTAAAAGGGGAAAATAAAGTTGCTTACTGAATCAGCGGCGCCTGCCGGTCCCAGACGGGATCTGGGAGATCAAAGGCGAAACAGAAGCAGGAAAACGCCGTCAAATCATCATTAAAAAGCGGCTGCAACGCCGGGCTTTGGAAAAGGCGTTTGCTGAGGAGGAATAACTTTGTGGTGATGCTGCCCTGGCTGCTGGGATGGGTTTCGGCGTGCACCCCGGGCGCCAGGGCCAAGTTCCCCTCCTATTTACCTGCTCGCATCTGGACAGCCCGTAGCTTTTTTTCCCAAAAATCTCATGCATGGGGAGGCTGGCAGTGTCGTGGCCCATTTTGGGGCAGCTTTGTTCTAATTCCAAATCAAATTAGGAATCAAATGAAAATTAAGAACATCATTTGCAGGAGCATGGGGGACCCGGTTTATCCGAGGGCTTTCCAGGATGCAATCCCTACCTGATGTGATTAGAGGGCTGCTGGCTGCTTGTCCCTAAAAAACTTATTTTTTCCCTCGAAACTCCAGCTGGGTTATAAAGGCCTTGGGTAAAGGGGAAGGTTTCAAGCCGAAAATGAAGTTTCATTTATCTTTAGGGCTTTTTGCACCCGCCTCGGCTGGCTGCCTGCCGGGGGAGCTTGGATAGGGTTTACTCGAGGAATTGTTAATTCGGGAGGGTTTTTCCCCTTTTTGGTAAGGGCGGCAGCACCAGTTGGTTGCGTCAGGCCGGGGCTTAAACTGGTTTTTCCTGGGATAAGGAAAAACAGGTCAGGCCTGTTGCTTCCCAAGAGTGTCTTGGCCGGGGAGCAGCTCACCTCACATGGCTTCGGATGGGCTTTGGCATCCCCTCCTGGATCTGGCCGTAGGCTTTGCATCCCCAGCGGGTGAGATTTGGGGCATCCCCGGACTTGCAGCAATTGCAAAAAGTGAAAGGGGGGGTGGGCGGGGGAGCGTTTGCTGCAAAAATAGCCCCGGCACGCTGCAGTGCTACCGCCGTGCCCCGGGGAGGGGGCGGATTTGGGCACAGCGTGGGAACGGGTGTGCAGGGGGGGGATTTGCATGCCCTGCCTGCGGGATTCACACTGCTGCGGTGAACGCGAGGCCCTCTTCGTGCTGCTCTTGCACCTTTGCTGTGCTGCTGGAGGAGCCGCACGAGGTGCATTTGGTGTTCGCTGAGTTTTTTTTGGGGGGGTCAGCTCTGTTCTGCCCTCCGGCCCTGGTGAGGTGCTGGGGGCAGGTGGGGCTTGAGGAGCGTTTTGCTGCCAAATACCCCATTTTCTGGGATTTTCACAGCTGGAAGATGAAGGGAGAAACGATGAAGCTAAAGAAATTAACGCATTTAGTGCTATAATCCCTGTTCACACACAGACAAAATAATAATTCACAATAGGTGTCATTTAAATTTCTAATAACATGGGGCTGTTTGGTTGGTGCACACAGCCAAAGGCCCCGTCTTCATCTCATCCTGGAGAGCTTTGCATCGCAGCAGGATTTGCAATGACGAAACGGGCAGGGTGGTTAACTGGCTAACGAGTACGGGATGGCAGCGGCATTTTGGGGGTGCAGGATTTCCTTTCGAGCTTGTACCCGACAAGCAAACCCAGCTCAGCTGCTTCCTTGTGCCCTTGTGCGAGGCAGTGGGAGGTGGGCTCAAGGAGCGGTGCCTTCACCCAGGGCGATGCTGCACCGTGGTTTGGGTGCCTCCCTTGCGAAAATGCACGGGGGTTTCCTGCAGCAGGTGCCCCAGAATTTCCCAGGAGGATGCCAGCAGAGGGCATCCCCCGACCAGCTCCATCGCTCCCATCACCTCCATAAATACCTAAATGCACTCATCTGGAGTGGTTGTGTGAAGTGCACTCTAAATAAACCCCCTCCCTCCACAAACACCAGCTCTGTCCTGTGCTACTTACAAGCACGTGGTGTGTTTACAAGGCTAATTAAACTCCAAATATTTAAAGTTCCTTGAGAACATCTCCGTTCCCGCGGTGCTCAGCCCCACGGAGCTGCGTGCACGCCCACAGCGCCAGCTTGGCTCGAGTCGTGCTGCTACGCACGCCATAAAGCTTCGCGGGCAGGGCAGGAGCACGGTAGGTGCTGGATCTGCTTGGGAAGGGGTTGCACCGGGCACTGAGTTTTTGCTTTGGTGTGATTTTCGTTCTGCATGCCTTTGGTTGTGCACTGTTTTGGTTGAGCACAGTTCTGCTTGTGCGCAATTTTGCTTGTGCGCAATTTTGCTCGTGCGCAATTTTGCTCGCGCATGAGACCTTCCTGTTACCATTTGTCCTTGCAAATGAGGCATCCGTGCCCCTTGCAGGGGGTGCTGCAGGGTCAGACCAGCTGGGGTCAATGACCAGTGATGGGCAAGCCGCTTATTTAAGTGCTGGCCACCACAGCAAGCAGTTTGCTTGCCTGCTTTTCCTCCAGGTCCTTTCCTGGCTAGATGAAGGTGTCCATCCCTGTTGCATCCTTGCCAAATGTCCTCTGGCAGGAAGGATTTGCTCACCCAGGTGGATAAATGAAGCCCCCTGCTTTTGGCTGGAGCGTGCCCCAGCCCTGCAGTGTGGATGTGGCCCTGCTGTGCTCCCCCTGAACCTTTGTGGGTTGAACCCTCCCTACCCCAATCCCAGCCTAGGTGCCAGACTGGACTTTTCTTTGGCAAAGCAGAGATTTCCTATGCTTTCCCCACCTTCTTCAGGCTTTGCTTTATGTGGTCTTTCCTTTTTTTTTTTTTTTTTAATTTTTTTTTCCTCTTCTATTTGAGTTGACATCACCGTATGAGGGGCTGCTCGGCTCCAGCACCCCAGGGTGGCCCAGCCTTTGCCCTGCCCTGTGTGGGTGCATCGGTGGCTGAGTCAACGTGGCCGTGGCGCATGCAGGGCACCCACCCCGTGCCGAAATGCAGCCGTGGCACAGGGCTTCACACGGGGAGGCTGCTCCGGAGGACTGCAGTGAGCAAACCTCCCGCTGCTCCCATTTCTGCTGCCTCCTTGGGAACTGGGGCGTGTGTGGGATCACGCCCTTGGCCGAGCTGTGCCCATAAACCTGGCATTGCTGCTGTGCTGACACACCTCAGCAAGTGTGCCGGGAGGGCTGGAGCCTCTGTGGCTGTGCGGATGCAGGCAGCGCAGTGCAGAGCCCACTCTGGGTGCGAAGCATCCCCTATAATTGCGCCAGGACCCCTCTCTTTGGCGCCAAGTGTGCCTCCCATTTGGTAGGTGCATGCACTTTTGCTTGGCACTTTGGCCGTTCTGTCTTTGCAGAGCTCTTTTTGGGGTGCGGTAGCCGCTCGGTTTGGCAGAAAGACTTTGAGTCCTTGCTGTGAAGTTTCGGAGGTGGCAGATGGAGCTCTGGACCCGTGTAGCAGCGCTGTTTTCAACCAGCCCTCACCTTCTGTGGCTGGGAAGGCCCGAAAAAAGTCAGTTCCTGTGATTGGATTCTTTGGCTTTTATCCAGCCATCGTGACACCGGGGACAAAGTCCTCTCTGCTGGGGGCACTGATGCTCCCGTGGGGCCTTTCCAGTAGGATTTGGCACCTCTGTGGGCACAAACACCTGGCGGGCAGCAAACAGTGATGCCATTATCTGCACAAAAAGGTGTTTTTGGCAGCTGTGATGCAGCTCCCAAGTCATCCCAAGGGCACCGGGGATTTTTTTTTTTTTTTTTTTTTTTTTTTTTTTTTTTTGTGTCAGGCTTGTTCATCCGGTTGGGGCTGGGATTGGCCTTGCAGCTGCTGGGTTTGTTTGCAAAGGGGCGTTCTGCAGCAGGGCGAGGTGGCAGCAGCTGGGGTGTGACAGTGGGAGAAGCTTCCTGCAGAGCGGGGAAAATGTGGCCTTGAACACCGATGAGACAGGTGAGGCTGGTGCAGTTCGTAGCGAGGATGTTGTGTTTAAACGCGTGCACGTATGGAGTGGTCTTTGCACCTCTCTAACTTGCTAGGTTTTGGCTGTGTGGTGCTTTTTGGGGAGGGAGGGATTTTATATATATATTTTTAATTATTTACT